GTAGGAGCCGACCTAGGGGGTAACCAGCAGACGCACGAAGGAGGCCCGGGAGAAGTAAATAACGCCCCTTTTTCATGCTTCCCAATCTAGTATGTGTCTTTCTCTAATTACAGAAGAGGTTTATAGGCTCTCTGGTTGTTTTGGTTTGGTTTTGTTTTGGGTTTTTTATATATATAGGCATGTATAGTGATTCTGGGCATGCAGCTACTGAGTGTGTAAATGGAATTTAACAGTAATGTGCATTTATGAATGTTGGTAGGCCAGATATTAATGAACATGAGGTAACGTTGGGGCAGAAGGTGGGATTAGGAGCAGTAGAATTAAGATGAGGAGTGGAAAGTTGTATTTCTCTAGAAATCTTCAAAGAGGGCAAACCTTTTTAGGCTATGGAACAGACTTCAGACAAAACAGACAGACTAATTTTTGTCAGTTAGTGCACTTCAATTAAACAGAGAAATTTTCTTCTACATGTTTTAGGGAGTGGCCCTTTACCAATATATCATGCCACCTTACATCTCAGTTAATCCCTTCTTCGTCAGTACTGGAGTGGAGTTTGTAAACACAGCAAATCCTGTTGTCAGTTCACAGGTGGCTATGTTGGTTCTGTCTCAGTAGGTGTAAACCAACAAAAACAAAGTGTGCTGCAGGAAAAGTGATGTGATGCAGAGAATGCCTAAGGCTTTGGCCTGAAATGTATATGGTTAAACCCTTGAGCTAAAAGTTATTCAGAACCATATTTTTGTTTGTTTGTTTAAAGATGTTCTCAGATTACAAAAGAATTTGGGGTTTGATAACATTCCTACAAATTATTTTCTCAACAGTTTCCATATGCATGGATATCACCGGAATCTTCTTACAAGAGCTTAAATTGTGTGTAAAATTGCCCTAAACATGAGTGGCTCCAAACCTGATATTCTGTGGGCCCCGCACCATGTTGACAGATTTGTTGTGTGCGATTCAGAATTGAGCCTTTATCACATTGACTCTGCTGTAAGTTCAGAACTCAAGGCAGGGTCCTTGCGGTTATCGGAAGAAACTACAGCTACGCTATTGTCAATAAATTCAGATACACCCTATATGAAATGTGTGGCTTGGTATCCAAAATACGATCCTGAATGTCTCCTTGCTGTTGGACAGGCCAATGGTCGAGTGGTACTTACTAGCCTCGGTCAAGATCACAACTCAAAATCTAAGGATTTGATAGGCAAAGAGTTTGTTCCCAAACATGCACGGCAATGCAATACGCTTGCGTGGAACCCACTAGATAGTAATTGGCTTGCTGCTGGGTTAGATAAACATCGGGCTGACTTTTCAGTTTTGATCTGGGATATCAGTAGCAAATATGCCCCAGAGACTGCAGTTGCTACAGAGAAAGTAAGACTTTCAGCAGGAGATCCAGAAGCAGGACTGGTAGTAACAAAGCCACTATATGAATTAGGACAGAACGATGCTTGTCTTTCTCTCTGTTGGCTTCCACGGGATCAGAAGCTGCTTTTAGCTGGAATGCATCGAAATCTGGCTATCTTTGATCTGAGGAACACAAGCCAAAAAATATTTGTAAACACCAAGGCTGTCCAAGGAGTGACTGTTGATCCCTATTTCCACGATCGTGTAGCTTCCTTCTATGAAGGTCAGGTTGCCATATGGGATTTAAGAAAGTTTGAAAAACCTGTTTTGACCTTGACTGAGCAACCAAAACCCTTAACAAAAGTTGCGTGGTGTCCAACAAGAACTGGACTGTTAGCTACTTTAACAAGGGATAGTAATATCATTAGACTGTATGACATGCAGCATACTCCCACCCCTATTGGAGATGAAACTGAGCCAACGATAATTGAAAGAAGTGTCCAACCATGTGAAAACTACATTGCTTCGTTTGCCTGGCATCCCACAAGTCAAAATCGAATGGTAGTGGTGACTCCCAACAGGACTATGTCTGACTTCACAGTTTTTGAAAGAATTTCTCTTGCATGGAGTCCAGTGACATCTTTAATGTGGGCTTGTGGACGACATCTATACGAGTGTACAGAAGAAGGAAAGGCTAGTTCCTTGGAGAAAGACATAGCAACCAAAATGCGGCTGAGAGCTCTGTCAAGGTATGGTCTTGATACTGAACAAATTTGGAGAAATCATCTCCTTGCTGGAAATGAAGATCCTCAGCTGAAATCGCTTTGGTACACTCTGCATTATATCCTTTATTTTACTGTAGTTTATATCCGAAAGAAGTAATATACCTTTACATATAAACCAGTTATGTGAAATGCATGAAAATCTTTAAGTATAATGCAACATCCTGTAAATACTTTGCATACGTTAATAGGATTTGGCTTTAAATTGAAAAAAAAAGTTTTTCAAACAGTTGGGAAAAATTAAGCTTCCTATACGTGAAAATACTTATGAAGCAGTATACTGAAGATATGGATCAAAAACTTACAGGAAACAAAGGGCCCTTAGTTTATGCTGGCATTAAATCAATTGTGAAGTCATCTTTGGGTAAGAATGTTTCACCTTGATAAGTTCTATTGTAGTATGTTTACAGAATGATGCACTCATGGGTTTGTCTTTAAAAAGAGGCTATTCAGAAATATAGAAACAAAGTATTTCTGTTTGTGTTTCAATATATGTAAGTTAACAATTTATATTACAGTAATTTCCAGAATTTTCAGTGTTCTTGGAAAGTCAGTAATCATAAAACCAAAGTATCCTCCGAGGTGAATCTTCAACTGAACTATTTCAAACTTTTGGGTTTTGACTATGGCACTGAAAATTCTTGCTCCTCACATAACTATTATGTTTTTCGAAGTTCCACAAAGGGGTGTAGTTCTAGGAAGCTGACTTTACTGTAGTTGCTGCTAATGTACTAAGTACATTTGTATAGCTATGTTTAAATAAGCTGGCTTGTTCTGAAGTGGTAATCACCCCTGGTACATCGCATTACGCCTCTCATGCTCAATGAAGTTTTTATTAGTATAATCTATTATTTGAGTCTTTCCTTCTCTATTCATTATATGTCTCATTAATATTTATGCTTGTTGGAGCAAAAAATAACTCTTCAATGGTGGGAAAGCTTCTAGCACGTTTATGCTTGCTAAGAAGAGGAGAACTGGTAGAGCAGGTGCTTGACTGTGTATTATGTATTTTCAAATTGAACATTCTCATAACTCCTGTCAACTGTAACAAGAATCTCCAAAATCTTAGGAAGTAGAGGAAAGAAGAAAGACTTAGTGGGAAATATGTGCCAAGTTCAGATGTATGATTATTAGCAGATCAAAATAGTTTTGTGTATGCTGCTCCTTACCATGGAGTTTTTAGTGATGTTAATTTAAAGCACTAAAATATGATACTCAGCTTTTGTACTCAGCTTTATGGCTGAAATAAAAGTGTTGCGTTATGGTTGCAATTTAAATTGTGATTTAAGCATAATTTAATTTACTTCCCATTTCTAGGAACAACAGAGAACCTCAGGCACAGCAGGAGTGGATCGGATAGACAGGCAGATATTATTCAGTATCTGAGTGAGGAGAGATCCTTGGCTTTGCAGCTCTGTGGGTGGATAAAGAAGGGAACAGACTTAGATGTGGAACCTTTTTTAAATTCATTGGAACAGGAAGGAGACTGGGAGCGAGCTGCTGCTGTAGCACTTTTCAACTTAGACATACGGCGAGCAATACAAATTCTAAATAAAGGGGCTTCCTCGGGAAAAGGTGTGTATTGTGGTTAGTATCTTTTATTTTGGCAATATAAGTAGATTTCTTTCTGTAAACAGAATTATGGAAGATAGTATGGAAAAGATGCCTGTCTTCTAAAATCATTACTTGAAGTGGTTGTGTTAGAACCTGAGAATCTGACAAATCCTGATCTTTTACTCCTCAGACTATCATAGGTCTTACTGCCCGGTTAAAATAGATGGTATTTTTCAGAATTTCTTATTGATACATACCCCGGAAAGTGCTACACTCAGAACTAGTGAGATTCTTTTATTTTAATGGAATTGCCTCTTGGCAGGATGTCATGGGTATCTGCTTCCGTTGGGCTGTATGCAGCTTTCTGCCAATGCAATGGCTGTGGAATAACTGAAACGTAATATTCAGGGTCTGCAGAAAACATTTGCTTTGGAGTAATATTTGGTAAGAGTTGCCATATATGAGGGAAAAGTTAAGATACTGGAGCCAGGAGATGGAGGTATTTTTGTTCTGTTTTCATGCCAGTATTCCTCCTACAGCTCCAATTGGCACCTGGGTTACCTTATTAAATTTAAAAGACTATCTTGCCACTAAAGTGGGTAGGTAAGACACAAACGAAGTTGTTACGGTTCTTTTATTTTCATTATTGCTCCTTTTTAGTGGGGGGAAGTGTGTGTGTGCGCTTTCCATAGGGCAGGTTCAGAGCGGAGACACACTATCTTCAAATTCAAAAATAAAACTGAACTTTCTGACAGACTGAATATTTAGATGAAATAGATTTAATGTTTTTAGGAAACTTGTTAACTTGAAGCTGCTATATGCAATTGTCATCCTCCAGCTAGGTCTGTTAAGTGGTGGCTATATATACAATCCTATCTTCTCACTTCTTGTGGATATGAATTATAGTAATGACAGTCTTTTATAATAGCAATAGGAACACATTATTAGTTCAAAACTATTTCAAAATACCAGAACCAGTGTGATGTTGCTTAAAGTGTAACTCAAGCTGTCATGCATGTGGGCTTCTGACTTTTAGAGCTGTTAACTTGCCCAAACAGAGGCATTTAAAGCAGAAACTATTAAATGCTAGTATATACACATTTATTTTAGCTAGTGTTAATTCTACTGCATTTTGTCTTGCATCCTGACAAAGCATTCTGTTTCAAATTGATGCTTTCAATTACAGTTTTAATTGGATTTTTTTAAAGTCCTTAACTTGAATATTGTTTCACTGATTGTTTTTAATAAATCAGGTGATCTGAACCTTAATGTAGTAGCAATGGCTCTATCAGGCTACACAGATGAGAAGAACTCACTTTGGAGAGAAATGTGCAGTACTCTAAGACTGCAATTGAACAACCCCTACTTGTGTGCTATGTTTGCTTTCCTGACAAGTGAGTCTGGTTCATATGATGGTGTTTTGGTGAGTAAATTTCTGTTATGTTAAAATTCTGTAAGTAATAGGTGCATATATATATATACACATACATATGTAGAGGAAATGCTATATACTCCATGACTTAACCAGATTAGAATGTATTATTTTCTCCTGATACTGGCAGATAACATTTTTTTTCTACTAAACAGACATCTCATATTAGTGAATGTTATGTTACAACAAACATGCATAAGCAGCCAAAATATCTGATATAGTTCACACATTTTTTAGAGGAAAATTTTTTTAGCATGGAGTTATTAAACCACTGGAAATACATTATCAAAATAATTTAAGCAGGGGGGGAAAGGGGAGAGAGATTAATAATGGAAATGCACAAAACAGAGTAAGTGCAGTGGAGTTTGCAGAACTTTCATCAAGCTATATTTGCATTGAATTGTATCTTATTTTTGCTTGTTTACTTGTTAAAATAATTTCACTGTGTTGAAACAGGAAACAGAATAGTTTCACATCTTCTGAAATGGATATAAAAATTACCATGTGAAAAGCAAACTAAATCTTTAATTATGAGGTACTTTGAACCTTTGGAGGCGTAACATACTTGATCTTTGGTTAGAGAAGAACAGAAATTCTTGATTCAGTAGGAATTATCTAGCCCAAGGGAGGACTCCTGTGATGCAACAGGGTAATTGGCCTAAACCTCTTGAAAACAAAGTTGTCATAATATGATGCTTTTAGAGTATTAACCAAAAAATAAGGTAAGAATCCCAGAGGAGAGAAACCTGAGACTTTTTTTTCCCCTCTCTTCAAGAGAGAATGTTCTTGTTCTCTGGATATTAGGTAATAATTTTATAGTTGTTTTTTATTGATGAATTGGAAACTGACCGATCATAGGGTGGTTTTTTTCAATTTTAGTTTTTATTTCAGTGAGACCTGTTGAAATTTGCATGAAAAGGATTTTGCCAAGCGCATCCCCTTGTTTTGGCAATGTCAATCACAATTTCTAGTCTGAAAATATCAGGAGGGAAAAATATGGGCACAGCTAAGTACCAGAATTAGTCTAGTCACAGATTTTTTTTTTCTTCAGTGTCGCATCTAGTGAAAGGATTAAAAAGCAGAAAGTAAATATTGCGTTGCTGCACCTTGATTGCCAATGTGCTTGTGAGAAATCCATGTTCTGCGTGTTTGGAGTTAGTTTTTGGTTGTTTGGGGTTTTTTTTGTTTGTTTTGTTTATAAACTTTTAGATGTGATTTTAGGAAGAAATTAAGTGGTTAGGCTAGTTATTTTGTAAATATGGTAAATGAAGGTTGGTTTGTTTTCCTTCCCACTGTGACTTGGTGAGCCTCTTGGCTATACGTGCTAGAAGCACTAAGCCCAGCTCTACATGACTTGCAAAGTTTCTTTTCCTAGAGTTTCATAAACCACATAGGATGTGTTGTACCAGGCTTTCCTGCCATTTCAGTAGACTGTTCCAGTAGCTGCAGTCTTGCTCAGATACCTGTGTCTGAGTATAAGTGATTAATCTGATATTTAGTGTTAGCTTTCTTCAGATGTGATGCTTTCTTTGTACACAATCAATTTCATAATATTAGTTATACAATAGTGCAAATGTTCTAACTTTTACAAACAATGTATTGAAAAACTGGAAACATGCATGTGATGGTAGTATTCCTGTTTTTCTGTCCAAAGTATGAAAATAACGTAGCTGTACGAGACAGAGTGGCATTTGCTTGCAAGTTCCTCAGTGATGCTCAGGTAAGTTTGTGGTTGCACATTTAAGCAAACCGTTAAACTGGGCTTTATTTAGAGGTGGAAGAAACTCTGAGGTGGAGGGGTAAACAGTGGAAGCAATGAGTCATGAGTGATTTGTTTTTTCTCATCGCAGTAGACTATAAGGTATCATATATTCTGGTCTTCAGTTTGTACCTTCAGCTTGATTTTTTTTTTCTTGTTTCTTTGGGTTTTCTTATTAGTATTCATGACATGCTAGTTTGTTAAATGCTATTGCATTACCTGTATGTCTGGTTTACTATAAAGTATTTGCACTTATTCAGTATTTATTTCCAGATGTTTACATTCTCTCAAATGAAGGCTTGGTTTTACAGAAGGAGTGTTTTCTTTTAAATTCACTGAAGTATTTAAAGAATATGTAACCTCCCTCTTTGCACTTCCTATCAGGAGGCTTAAAGTTTGTTGATAAGTACTTGAATTCTTGCAATATAGTGGATATAGCCATATAATTTTTTCTATGTAACGTCCAGCAAGCAGCATATTCTGTTAGCAGCAAACACTCTTAAAGAAAGATATTCAAATTGTGAAAAGTTGTATGCCAACATAAATTATTTTAGGGAGGTTTGAACTGACGGCAAAAGTTAAGTAATTTTTTTCTTTTTTTGTAGCTGAACAGGTTTATTGAAAAGCTGACGAATGAAATGAAAGATGCTGGGAATTTGGAGGGAATACTGTTAACAGGGCTGACAAAAGATGGAGTTGACTTGATGGAAAGTTATGTTGACAGAACTGGAGATGTCCAGACAGCAAGCTATTGCATGCTACAGGTTAGTGTTTCACTCAAAAATAAATCTTTATAGAGGAGAATTAAACATAGTTTCTTTAGCAGTATAGTACTGAATCTTGTGAACTAAAAATTATGTTCTATAATGAATTGGGACGATATATATCATGCTTGTTTTGCAGAATCATCTGGAACGCTCAGTGTTAACTATAAACATGTATCTTCACTCTGGTTGAGATAGCTTGAGGAGATAGTAGGGGAAGGAGGCAAAAAGAAAACATAATCCTTTTCACTAGCTGAACTGGGAATACGCATTCTTCTGCTTATTGCTGATGTGTTTCCTGACAGGTTCACTATTATTTTTTCTTCCAGGATTTTGATAGAGAACTGAGGTGAGGGGTTTTTTTTGTCTGTAGGCATTGTGTTTGTTTTTGAAATGATGGACTTATCTTGGCCCTTACACAGTTGTGGCTATTGCCAGCACTGTGTTTAACTGCATATGTAATCATAACAATGATATAGACTGTGATATGTGAGAGAATTTTATAATCCTTCATCTGACAGACAGGAATTTTTAGGAGGATGTGGCAGCACAAGTGTTTTCAGCCAGAGAGGCAGACTGAACAAAATTTTTATCAAACTTGCCTTACAGTTTAACAGAAGATTAATCTTTTCCTAGACAAATTACACTGTATTATTTCTCGTACCTCATAGTACACTTTAAAAAAGTGAATAATATGTATTGTGTGTCTTCAGTGTGTGTCTGACATTTTTTCCTGCATGCTTTAGGGTTCTCCATCGGATGTACTTAAGGATGAGAGGGTTCAGTACTGGATTGAGAACTACAGGAATCTTTTAGATGCTTGGAGATTTTGGCATAAACGTGCAGAATTTGATATCCATAGGAGTAAGCTGGATCCTAGCTCAAAACCTTTAGCCCAGGTAAATGTAATTCTTGTATGAAGTATGACCAGTCCAGAGAGGAAGGTGGCATGGTACTTCCATAGAAAAAAGTTGCTAGCTGCACCTTGGCATTCATGAGGATTCATGTGCAAAAGAAAGATTTCAACTAAGGCTGCCCTAAAAACATAGCTGTGTTTTTTTCAAAATATTTTTTTAGGAAGGACTTGATAACTGTTTATCTGATAGAGAGTACAGAAATATCGCAGACAATTCTACATTTCTTCATATCTAATCTAGCAAATCAGGTTTCTACTGTTTTATTTGTGTTCTTTTTTTTTTCTTTTCTTAAACCTTTTTCTTTCAAATAGCAGGTTGTCTTTCAGAAGCTGTAACTTTTCAACACATTTTTCTAGGGAAACCGGGGTTTTTTTCCTCCCATGTTGAAAAACAAAATCAGAGATGTATCATCCAGCTGAATTCAGCATCAGGGTGAGGATGATGCTGAAAGCAGGGAATTGAACCAAGAACTAGTTCAAATTGTCTCTGTTTTACTTGAAGTGAACCTCAAAGCTATTTTGAGGCCCTTGAACATTAAACTAAAAGTGAATAGCAGCAACTTTCATTATCACTTCTGAACATAAGCTAAACCAAAAACTAACGCTCTGTCCAAATGCTTTCTGCGTAACATCTGGTGGCATTTTTAGCCAACATGGTCTTACCACAGTACCTTCCACTCTCATGTCTACTGAGTATGTGTATTACACACCTTGGGGCCCAAGGGTTTCTAAGGAAGGCTATTTTTGAATTCATTGTCTGTCATCCCTCTTTAAGGAGAGCTGGATCTGTAGTGCTCCAAGTGGGAGGGAGTTGAGTTTACTGCTCCTTCCTTTTTTGATCAACATAAATAGCCTCTAAAGAGTTTAAAATATGTGTTCCTTGGTATCAAGTCACAACTTGTGGCCTAAGGTATGCAGATAAATATTAGGAAAATCCTCATGTTGGGGACTGTAGGGTGGGTCACCTGACTGTAAGGAGGAAGAGACCAGATTTAATTATACAGTAAGCAGAGTAAACTTAATTTCTTTCATTACTGTACATACAGCTTTTTATTATCTTAAATAATACCTTTCCAAGTGTATTTGAAGTTAAGTGAGTGGCATTAAGGCCTACTTCTCAGGACTATGTGCCACATCTATAAGCCAAGATGTTAGGAACTCCTTCACAACTAGCCTTGGCTTTCCAGGGTACTCTCTAGAATATCTGGTAAATAAATGTTTGCTAGCCTGAACGAATTCACTCATAGGTGTAGCAAAAGTGTAACCAAACCAAAAAATTAATGGGCTTTTGTTCTCTTCAGGTGTTTGTGAGTTGCAATTTCTGTGGAAAATCAATCTCTTACAGCTGTTCAGCTATTCCTCATCAGGGGCGAGGTTTTAGCCAATATGGAGTTAGCGGTTCACCAACTAAGTCAAAAGTTACAAGCTGTCCTGGTTGCCGTAAACCCCTTCCTCGCTGTGCACTTTGCTTGATAAACATGGGAACACCAGTTTCCAGCTGTCCAGGTATGACAAAGTGGGTTTTACTTACTCAGCTAGAGTACTAGTTAGATGCCTAATTAGCAGTTCCTGCTGGAAGATCTTCTGTTGCACCTTTTTCTTTCTATTTGTACTTACACTGTAAATATTCATGCTCATCATTCTGAGGGAGGAAGACCATAACTGAAAACTTGTTTACATTCCATCTGATTTTATGATGAAACCTATGTCTCAGTTCTTTGGTGTCAGATGGTATGCACAGTTACTTGATTCTGACAGTTTTCCCAGTGAAATTGTCAGTGAAATTCCATGGTTAGACAGATTAAAAGATTTGAGTATTGTGGTGGTAAGTATGGTGAGCTTTAAAACTGCAAGAAATCGGAAGTGTGTTTTCTTGAGGTGAATTGTAGGGATGCTACAAAAATCTTGGAATGTAAAGACGAAGAGAGAATAAATTTGATGTGGTATACTTTCTTTCATTAAGTATGAAAGAATGTATGGGTCATGCTGTCACAGCCAAGAAATACTATAACTAGAATCTTTTTGTTCTAAATGTCTTGAGCTCAGCATTATACGAGGTCTAAATGAAAATGATTTTGTCCATATTTTTAGGTCAGTCTTGTTATAGAGCCATGAGCAGCTGTGCAGTTGTCATCTATTTATATATCTCTTCTCATCCTTTCACTGATCTGTGTTATGACTTTTATATTCTAATTGTTTCAATTCATAACTTAGATTTTCTTGATTTTTCTAAAGCAGAACATTTAGTGTGCAGTAAAACAGACCCATAATTCACTGGAACGAAGTCGATGACTGAAACAAATCACTGTTGAAAGAGATTCTGTCTGTAAAATTTGTTTAATAGGCAAGTTTAGCATATCCGTAAGATGTGAAACAACAGCTCAGCAATATAATTCTTGTTTTGGCATTCCACCAGTTCTTAATAATTTTACTGACTGCTCTTTTAGAATCAGGCTACTTCTTCACATCATGGTCCTAATTTCGGATTTATTCTAATAGTGTCACTGGGACTGAAGTATAAATGAAGCATGATGATTTACAAGCGTGTTTGTGGGGGTGGGTTTGCCTCTGCACAGGAGGATCCAAGTCAGATGAAAAAGTGGATCTTAGCAAAGACAAGAAGTTAGCCCAGTTCAACAACTGGTTTACTTGGTGTCACAACTGTAGGCATGGTGGACATGCTGGACATATGCTTAGCTGGTTCAGGTAAGTTGATGTTAAAATCTTTCTTATTTCACATGTGTATGCTGCACTGAGTAGAACATGCCTCCTTGGCTGTATCTATCATTATAATGCCTTGTTGGTTTAGAACATATGCAAAACTTAATGATGATGCTGAGTTTTTCTGAGATACTATGTCCTTGCACATACTTAAATGTATAGACTACAAAATTCTTGTTAGTTTTATTTTACCTGTTTTTTCTTTTTTCTGCTGTTGATATCTAGGGACCATACCGAGTGCCCAGTTTCTGCCTGCTCTTGTAAGTGTATGCAGCTGGATACAACAGGGAATCTCATACCAGCAGAGACTGTCCAGGCATAAATATTGTTTGGAAATGTGGGACTCTCTAATGGATGTCCATCATAGTCCAAGCATATATTTTAGACAAAGGTCACATGTGACTTAGTGACTGTGAAAAAATAAATTGCTATCAGATTAGTAAAATGATGTGTGTATGACTGTGCTTGGTAGAAACGGGTATTACTGAAGTGAGTCCCTGGTATAGTATGTGGTCCTTGTTCAGAGGATTGAAGCAGTTCAGTTCAAAAGCACTCCTGGAATTGTAGACTCTGGAGTTTTCAGGGTTATGCTAATTGGCCCTTTTATTTGTTTTCCAAACAAAGCAGTGTTTATCTGCTGTGAAAGTGGGCCTTCAAAATAAACACCTGAAAAGTGTTCTTCAGAGGATCATGAAGTGATGCTGTGCATTCCTCTGTTCATTGTTTGATCACGCTTTCTTGTATGCAAACGATCATTTCCTTGCAAGTTTATTCAAAATGCCACTGTTACTTGTATTCTAAAGATTTTTATTTAAAAAAAAAATCCACTTCTTTCTGTTCCCAAGTTCTGTTAATAGTAAAGCAATATCTTTACAATTCAAGGTCTTATTTAATTTACCTACATACCTAGCTGATGTGAATTTTAATGCTAAAGAATTTGGGGGTTTTGTCTCCTAGCAATGTCCTAGAGAAGAGTTCCCTGAAAAGTCATGTGTCTGTTTCAGTGCAGAGTGCAGGTAAACTACAGGAGGTTTCATTTGACTGATTATTTTTTAATGTAATACTGTGAAGAACTGAAATCTCAAGAACTGGAGATTTGTACATCTTAAGTTTTAAACTACTTGCTGAGTTTTGACTACAAAAATATTTGGATAATCAGCATTTCCCTGTACTTCTGAAATATGCTGGGAAGTGTGAAATCAGCCTATATAAATCCTGCTTCTGGTCACTAGCAGACACCAGTCTGCTCCCGAAAGGCTGCACAATTTTAGGTTATTGACCAGAAACAGTTCTAGATATGTTACCAGCTGGAATTAAGATTATTTATTAACTTGAGAGAGAGTCAATGATATTTTGCTAATACTGCACTAGGAGCTAATTGGTATTGTTGTCCTTGATTTCGTAGGCAACAAAATTCACACAAATTAGGGGAAAAAACCTGTTTTAAGGTATGTGATAATAACATCAGTTTACTTGGTGTGTGTTTGTTTACTAGTAGAAACAGTATATGAGTTACTTAACACTTGCATCCTATGAAATACTAAATGGAATGCTAGCAATAAACTGGTACCATATTGCCAGGACTGTGAGAATTGGTGTTTTAAAAGAGAATATATTGTAATATACCACTAGTTCTAAGTGCTGTAGTGTAGTTGCAACAAGATAGAATGTGGAAATGTTTTTTGTAGATGTACATGATTACATTCAGGACTTTGGGTTGTATTTTCTGATTTAGCATTAATGTTGTAATACATCTGCTACCTTTATTCTGATCTAAAATTCTTGCCTAATTGACAAAGATCTTTTTTAAAGTTAAAAATCTAAGGTACTTTGTAGGCTGGGAGAGCAGTTCCATTTTTTTCTTGTTAGAATATTTATTTCTCTTTCCAGTATTTTTGCACACTGCATGTTGCTGTTAAAGAGCTCTTCAAAATGTTCTCCATTTATAAATGTAAAATGGGGTTTAATGTATAATACCCTATTTATATAAATACAGGCAATAGAACTTTTGCTTTATGGAAATGAGGATTTGTAAGTGTCAAGGATGTTTTTATTCCTCTGTAGTAACAACGTTTAGTAAATTTTCCTGATAGTTTCCATGTCCAGGTGAATGCAACTACTAACTTACAATGTCTCATTTTCTCATGTAAAGAAAACTCATTTATAATGTTTTTGACTTGACTATACCTGTTTGTGTCAAATTCTATCATTTCATTAAATTAGGTGCTTACTTTGATACTCAGCATGTCTTTGAAATGTTTTGGATTATGAATGTGTGCACATTCTGGCACAGTGGGACTATCACTTTTGGCTGTTGTAATTGGTAATCAGGCTTTCAGGCCAGTAATTACACTATTGGCAAAATTTACAAAGAGGTGTATTTTTTTTTAATGATCAGATTTTTCCCTTGTTTTGCTTTTAATAAAGCTGTGATTTTAAGGGTGATATGTTGTCTTCTAACAAAAAAATGCAGCTACAGACATTTTATTAGCTTCAAAATTTACTGTTTTCTGATACCTGCTCAACTCTGATAGAGTTAACTAGATGAAGGTGGCCTTGCGTGCTAAAATGTTTTGACCCTACGGTTCAAGCTGATTACATTTAATTATTTTCATGGCATTATATGCTTCAGCCTTGCTTCCCTTCCCCGATTAAGTACAAGCACAGGCTGCTTGCGCGTGAGCACAACGCAAGTTGTGCATGTGTCCGTGCCCGAGCAAGGACGGCAGAGCAGGTCTGGTGATGGTGACCAGGGTCAGCCCAGAGTCCAGAGACTGCCAGATAACTCTGCAGGGCCACCCCTGACAAGGCTTCTCCCCGCCTCCCCTGTTCCTGCATAGTACTTCACTGCATAGCTGCATTCTGCTGGCCTGCCTCAGGATCCACACTAAGACTGAATTTCCCCACGAGAATTTGCCAAATTTTAGTCTATTCCTCCATTTCAGATTCACGGACTGCTTTCTGTACCTTAACCAACTGGGACATAAAACCATTCTCCTTCTGGGCTGTCAGAGTGGAGAGGGAAGTCACAGTAGCTTTGCTGGCCCATAAGGAGGGCTGCTCCCAGCTTCCTTACCTGCAAGTCCTTCTTCCCCACTGCTATGGGGCTTTGAGCAGGAGTAACTCTTAACCACCGAGTGGTGATTTCCATGTGCACCAGACACGCCAAGGAGAGGTCTGGCTGGAGAAAGTGGGGGCACCTGGATTGCAATATGGCGCTTGTTATGGTGGCAATCCCTTGTGGCTCCACACAAGCGCTGGTGGGATGCAGCTGTGCCGTTGCCCTCCCGAAGTGCAGAGATTCTTCCATCCCATGTGTAGGTTCCCTAATTAAGACTCTATCACATCTGTTTGATAATTTTTATTTGTACTTTAGCCTGCTGGACAGCTAAAACAGACTGATGGTTTAAGAATTGTTTCTCAAAACATAGCTCTCCAACTTCAAAACAGTATTTCATGAAGACTGGACCCCACCTAGCAGCCCCTGCAACAAGGCAGGCAGCCTTAAGCTGCCTCTCGTTTTTGAAGTGCTTAGTAACCAGCTTCTGCTAAAGCCTAACCTCTACTGCAGCCAAGGAAGCCCAGGTTGGGGCCTGCTCAATCCCCTGTCCACCTTTCCAACAGCTGTCTTGCCCAGTCTGTGCTTCCCTGTGCCTCTGGCAGATGACCCTTCTACACCAGATTCATTTTCTCCAGTTATGCTTACTGGGATCAGGATCCTGCCAACTATGCCAGATGTTACAGGAGAAGGCAACGTGACAGCATCCCCCCATACCAAAGTTGGGAAGGATGCTCCAAATATTTCCTTAGGGCAGGGAAAAAGGTGCCAGGTCCCAGAAGTTGGTGACAAGCATAGTGGGAGTTAGTGGGCTCACTGTCCTGCTCCAAGTGACGGGAACCTGTCCCAGGCAGCCCTGATCACATCACTCACTTCATACCCCCCTTTCCTCTCCCATGTTCCCACCCTTACCACCCTTATGTCCTCCCAAAGAAGCCGCCAGCTCCTGCGCATACCTTCCACTACTGGCCCTGGTTTTGGTGACATCCCTCTTTGGTGTTTATGATACAGTTGCCCTGGTGACGCCCCTTCGGTCAGCCACCCATGAAGCTATTTCCCATTTTATTATCTATGAGGTCTGGCAGTTTCTCACACCACCTTCTTGTTAGTGCAGTCCTAACTGACGGTTAGCAGGCCCTGTGGTTATTCCTTTCCCTTGGGTATCTGGCATGGCTGGCAGTTTTCCACATTCCTACCCTGGCAAATGCATATATGACCTGAGTGTTACATTAATATCAAGAATATTTTACAGTTCCTTGCATTGCTGTCTTGTTAGTGTAGCCATATAACCAGTGTAGGCCATTTATTCACAAACATTGATAGCCTATAGAGAAACAGATGAATAAAAACCACATAGTGGAAACTTTTAGTTGCGTACTGCTTGCCTAGCCATGTATCATTGATGCGGGACTGCACCAACAAGAAGAGTCTTGACTGACAGAAGGAAACTGTAGTATTTCCCACTCAGACGTGCTCAAACATTTACACCCAAGACCACATATCCCAGGATGGTCTCTGTATGGTGGTAAAGTGCTATGGCCATCTAGTGGTACACTTCCATTAGGCCTGGATAGTCTTGGTAACTAACTGTACATAGCATTTTACAGAATATATGTACATGCACAAAGTATCAATTTTCTAAAGTAGAATAGTACAAAAGACTCCTAAAAGCTAGGAAAACGTGCATGCAGTTATTAAGAATGACATTTTATTCTACTGACCACTAAAATATAGTGGTGATAGCACTACAGGATGGAACATGGTATCATGCTCCATGGACATCATGTTCTTGTTTGCTGTGTGAGGCTAACTCCTACTTCAGAAGGCCTCCTCCTTCCCAGTGACAGTAACTTTGTCATTGTCTTTTACATACGAAGGGGAAAAAACACAGATCACCTGTTAACTTGGTCATCCACCCAGTTTTCAGTAACTTTGATAAGAAGCCTTTAAAACATAAATTTCTTGACTGAAAACTGGGATGTTTATAAATCAGCACAAAGCTAGTAATCTTAATAAGGCACCAAATCTAGCTATTAAACCTGAAACCTCTTTGTATGAAAGGTTAATGAACATGGCTATGGTTTATTTAAAATACTTTGAAATACTTTATTAATTCACAGAGAATATTTCCAAAGTTAGATTTTACCTTGATCGTGTTACCTTAAGAGATGTAAGAATTCTATGTGCTCTAAGTAGCCTGGACAGTAACAAAATTAGGAACCGTGTGGAAGTTTATATGGTTAAAGTCACCATGACAAGCTGGCTGAATCCTGGTACTTCTGCTTAGATTCCCACCAAGAACAAAGGTTGTGATGGGAAGTCAACTGCGCTTGAAATCCCCAAGCCTAACTAGACATCTTCCAAGTGTTTAACATCAGTGCAAAAGGCAAGTACCTGGTACTCCACTTTGTTAAAATTAGCTGTGTCAGGTAAAACAGAGCAGGAGTCACCAGATGTCACTGAAAACAGCACTCACAAGATGTAACACTGACATGAACAGTTAAATGCAGTC